CTTCTTGGAGAAGCTAAAAAAGGGTCAAGCTTCTTGGAGAAGCTAAAAAAAGGGTCAAAAGGTTCAAACTTCTTAGAGAAGCTAAAAAAAGGATCAAACTTCTTGGAGAAGCTAAAAAAGGGTCAAGCTTCTTGGAGAAGCTAAAAAAAGGGTCAAAAGGTTCAAACTTCTTAGAGAAGCTAAAAAAAGGATCAAACTTCTTGGAGAAGCTAAAAAAGGGTCAAGCTTCTTGGAGAAGCTAAAAAAAGGGTCAAAAGGTTCAAACTTCTTAGAGAAGCTAAAAAAAGGATCAAACTTCTTGGAGAAGCTAAAAAAGGGTCAAGCTTCTTGGAGAAGCTAAAAAAAGGGTCAAAAGGTTCAAACTTCTTAGAGAAGCTAAAAAAAGGATCAAACTTCTTGGAGAAGCTAAAAAAGGGTCAAGCTTCTTGGAGAAGCTAAAAAAAGGGTCAAAAGGTTCAAACTTCTTAGAGAAGCTAAAAAAAGGATCAAACTTCTTGGAGAAGCTAAAAAAGGGTCAAGCTTCTTGGAGAAGCTAAAAAAAGGGTCAAAAGGTTCAAACTTCTTAGAGAAGCTAAAAAAAGGATCAAACTTCTTGGAGAAGCTAAAAAAGGGTCAAGCTTCTTGGAGAAGCTAAAAAAAGGGTCAAAAGGTTCAAACTTCTTAGAGAAGCTAAAAAAAGGATCAAACTTCTTGGAGAAGCTAAAAAAGGGTCAAGCTTCTTGGAGAAGCTAAAAAAAGGGTCAAAAGGTTCAAACTTCTTAGAGAAGCTAAAAAAAGGATCAAACTTCTTGGAGAAGCTAAAAAAGGGTCAAGCTTCTTGGAGAAGCTAAAAAAAGGGTCAAAAGGTTCAAACTTCTTAGAGAAGCTAAAAAAAGGATCAAACTTCTTGGAGAAGCTAAAAAAGGGTCAAGCTTCTTGGAGAAGCTAAAAAAAGGGTCAAAAGGTTCAAACTTCTTAGAGAAGCTAAAAAAAGGATCAAACTTCTTGGAGAAGCTAAAAAAGGGTCAAGCTTCTTGGAGAAGCTAAAAAGGTTCAAACTTCCTCAAGAAAAGGTCTCGGCCAGGAAAAGTGGCCGATTGATCAGAAACAGTGGCCGGCCGACCAAACACAATGTCGACCGACCATCAATAGTGCCGACCGGCCATCACCAATAGCCGGTGGCAAGGAAACAAGGCCGGTGGCCTCAAGCCATGGCCGGTGAGGTGTGGGGATGGCCTACAAGCTACTTCCCACCCTCAGAAGCAAAACCACAAGTGTTTGATACAAAACCAAACACAAAACAAACAAGTCGAGAGGTCTTGAGGTAAGGCACGTAGTCGAAACCTCCGAGAACTCAAGACGAACACAAACAAGGGTAATCATCGAGTGTTCAAACGATGACGTCCAAGTCTTAAGGACGGTAAAAAATGGGGTGTCTACAATTGGGTATAGACTGGTTGTCATCCTATTGGGCTGTTATAGATTGTTATCATCAGAGGGTTACTGTGGGGGTGTTTGGGAAGAAACTTTTTTGGCTTTTTTGGCTAAAATAGCACTAAAAGACAAAATTGGTTAAAATAGCCAATACGACAAAATGTCACATCAAATCTATAATCATTTCACTTTTTCTCTCACAAATATTACATCCAACTACAAAAAAAATTCAACTATCTTTCCAAACACAAAAAATTTATCCTCTTAAAATAGCCTACTAAAATAACAACTTCCCAAACACCCAATGTCATGACCCGAACCCGCCCTCGTAGGTTAAGGACATAACCGGCCAGTAATCATAAGATTACCTACGGCCTCAAACCAAAACAACGTATTTTAACAGAGTTAATGGGGGCCAAATGGAAGCAATTCAAAACTTTGTCCTTAGAGCTGTGCTTACATTGCACATCCAAACAACCAAACATATATACATTAATAACTCACAAAGAAATACAGTAGCATAAGTTCTGTACAAACAGGGATCATCCAAAAACCAAGTCAACCCATGAAAACTATACACAGACGTATACAAAAACTTCGCCAACATGACAACATAAAACAAAATGACAAAAAGGCGAAGGCGAGTTTCGTGCGTGAGACACGTGGGCTGACTCTAAAAAAAAAAAACCGTTTGCTCCATGCAGACTTCACTGGGGTTGGGTCTGGACCTCTCTTGGCTCACTTACAAACACATGAATGAGCGTGAGCGAAAGCCCAATGAATAATATCAAATAAAGTAAATACATTGGAACATTATACATCAGACGGCCTCAGGCCCAATTCATTCATGTCAAACTAGCCTTTGGCCTTTTCGAACGTTCATATCAGACTGGCCTTTTGGCCTTATCAAACTTTCGTATCAGACTGGCCTTTTGGCCCTTCCAAACTTGTCATATCAAACTGGCATTTAAGCCTTTCAAACTTGTCATATCAAACTAGCATTTAAGTATTTCAAACTTTCATTTCAAAGTGGCATTTAAGCCTTTCAGACTTGTCATATCAAACTGGCATTTAAGCCTTTCAGACTTTCATTTCACACTGGCATTTAAGCCTTTCAGACTTTCATTTCAAACTGGCATTTAAGTCTTTCAAACTTGTCATATCAAACTTTGTCCACCATTTAACATTAATGAACTTTACAAGACTTACGTAGAAGTAAGCAATTGGATAATAACATATTTCAGATATTACTCACAGTGATCGGTTTGTGGATTTGCCCGGGAGCTTGACCCTACACATTCCATGAACACAAAGGGGTCACTAACAATTCAATCCGTTCTAAATTCACATTTTCCTCTTTAGTCTTTATTCTTATCTCTTTAACTCATTTACAATGTTTAATACATGCCTAAGAGTGCTTGCAAGTGAAAGAGAACGGAAAACGAAACACAGAATGCGAAAACAAAATTTTAGAAAATAGGGTCCCTGCTCGAGCGTGTAATACCCTGCTCAAGCGGAACCTCAAGGCCTGCAAAAGTACTGGTTGCATGAAAAATAAGCTCGAGCGTGAAATAGGACGCTCGAGCGAAAGGCCTGTCTACAAAGCTCCACGCTTGAGCGTGAAATATCCCGCTCGAGCGGACACCAAGTCTGCAAAAAGTACTGGGAGCACGTAATTTACGCTCGAGCGTAGATTCTCCCGCTCGAGCGGATCTCAAAATTCTGGAAAACCCAGAATGTGTTCTTGAGCTCCCTCTCAACATTCAAACCAACATTTCTCGCATTTTATGGCTCCAACCTCATATATTCTTGTACTAACATGGTATAAACACTAAAACACATCATCATGGAGCTCAATTTCATGAATCAAACACATGCATGGCTCATTTTCCACCAAGCTCACTACCAATATAATAATTTCATGCATTCAACACTTACACCCTTATAATTTGCACATGCATGTGGTAAATTCTTCTCATTCTCAACTTATATGATGAAGACGTGGTCAAGAACATGATCTTTAACTAAAAACTCACATAGATCATGCATTTGGTGTTCAAATATGCAAATTCAAAGCAACTATATACATGCAAGCTAATATGGACCCTCAATTCAACATGGTCAACTCAATTTCATTTCAATTCTTGTTCTTGACCATTAATCAACTTTAAACACACAAGATTACACATTACACTCATGAATTCAAGAGTCAAGTACATACCTAGAGGCTCAATTTATTCCAATCACTAGCAAATTCTTGAATAATCTTTGAGATCACCAAGCTTTGAGACCAAAACCCCAATTCCTTCTCCCTCTCTCTCTCTAGCCGACCCTCTCCTTCTCATATCCGTATCCAATACTTGTACGCTGCCCATTTTGGAGTATCCGTGCTTCATAGCTTAGAAGAAGAGACCGTATTTCAATCTCTTGAGATAGGTACTAGATTGAGCCATGGTTATTAGAATTCCGATCTGGATTGTAGGATCTTAAGATCAAGATCCTACGACTTTAGTTGGGCCAAACGATTTGGATCGCACTAAGATCTTAAATTTAGTAGGATCTTCAAGAGACTACAATTCTAGTCATAAAACCGTGTAGAATCACACTACGATCCCGATCCTATCAAAATTTTTTTTTATTATTATTTATTTCTTACATATGTATGTATATGTGTATATCTATATAAAAAATTTGACTATAAATTCTTTCTACAAATATTTCTTCTAATTTATGATAACATAAAAGATGCATTATATCAAATTAATCATTTTTTAAAATTGTTTTACAATTATTTAACATACTTTATCATTATAGATAATTTATCATTTTATTTTACATTAAAAGTAGAATCTTACGATCCTTGATCCGATTCTACGATTCGATCCATAAGTCCTCCCAACGATCCTACTTAGGATCCCGATTTTAACAACCTTGGATTGATCCCTTTCATCCAAGGAATTTAAATTGTCATACATTTCTTCAAAGTTCAAATTGTCTACCATTTCTTCAATTTAGGTAAATCACTCATATGGAAGATGCTCACTGTCCCCCGCTATTGGGAAAGAAAAACTAACAACATCATGCTGGCAGCATTTACCATTTCAATTTTGAACATGTTTCCATTGTATTCTAAAGTTGGTGAATATTCAATAGTTTTTCTCCATTGGGCTTCATTTGATTAATATATCATCACACTTGTGTATACTTGTATGCCTTTTGCGCTTCTTTTGTTTTAATAGTGAATGGTTAAACCTGAATAATCAAGACATAAATGTAAATTTCATGTAGAAACTATACTTGTGTTGCATTTTCACTTATCCTTATAGTAAAATAAAAATGTTGCATCAGGCATAGTATTTCACAATTTCTTGATCATTCCTTTTTTTAATTAGTGACTGGATTTGATGAAGTGTTTTTCTTAAGAAAGTGCTTGTACTTGTACTTCTGTTGCTAGAGTCTAGGAATGTGCCAATTTGGAATGCACCTGTAAAGAGTCACTTACTTCACAGAGTTCATATTTTAAAGAAGGGAAAACTTCCACATCCATTGTTGCTTCTGAGCTTTTGAAGTTGAAGTCATAGGGTGGTTCCTTTATAGGAAACTCCGAAAGAAAATCTTCACAGTTTGATGTCAGAAGGTACAATGGCAATTGTGAAACCAGAGGTATGTTAGATAATTGTTTTGGGAATCTTATTTTTTGTTATCAATTTTTTACAAATGCAGATTGAGAAGATAATTTTCTCTGACTATAGTTGGTTATTGGGGATTTTCCTATTCGCTCTTTTGGATAATGTGATGGTAGAATTTGGTTGATATTGGAAACTATTTTAAGCATCAGCTTGTGCTGATATGTAATGCTTGTTCCCATAAGGTTTTATTATATCATCACATAGGGTGTTTCTTTTTTAGTGTTTAGTTTTTCGAAATGATATCTATCATACTTTTTTCTTAAACCCCACCATGAGGGGCATAGGCTGTGCCCAAATTGGGTTGATGTTGTAACCTGTAGACATGAGGTTCAAGATATATGATGATGGCTCACAATTAAATTATTAGTTTATTTTTTCCCCCATTGATGTAGTTTTAATCCATTTTGTTATGATCACTATTTAATTTACCTTTGCTCTATGTTTCAAGATGAAGTCTTACATCTGGGTCCAAACTGCTGATGGTTCAATCCAACAAGTGGAGGAAGAGGTTGCCATGTTTTGCCCCATGATATGTCGAGAAGTACTTCAAACAGGCATGGGATCTTCCAAAAACTATGCTATATCTCTTCCTCAACGAGTCAATCCTGCCGTCTTGGGCTTAATACTTGATTACTGTCGGTTTCATCAACTACCTGGCCGCTCTAATAAGGTTTGTTATGTTTTGGATGTTTTATATTGGATTAAGTTCCTCTTGGGTAAAAATGCTGACTGCTACGTTAAAATTTCAAGGAGTTAGAAACATTTGTTACAAAGGTCCTTTTCCTACCTTCAATCTCTCTCTGGGGAGGAGTCAATAAGATGGCATAGGTTATGACGATGTTCAGTATGAAATGTTTTGACTCGTTTTTTGTTTTTTCTGCATCTAGGAGCGGAAAACTTTTGATGAAAAGTTCGTTCGTTTAGATACAAAAAAGCTATGTGAGCTGACATCTGCTGCTGACAGCCTCCAGTTGAGGCCTTTGGTTGACCTTACAAGCCGTGCACTTGCTCGAATGATTGAAGGGAAAACTCCTGAGGAAATACGTGAAACATTTAATTTACCTGATGATCTTACGGAGGTGATTGTTGCTGGAATGAAATCTTCTCCCTCTCACCCCAAAATCCTTTTTTTTGGGTGTCCATTTTTGTGTAGTTGTCGTCGTTGCTTTATCTTCTCGAACGGTCTCGTCAAAAGGGTCTCTCTCCAATTGAAAAATCTTGGTGGTGAGACTCCACCATTTCTGTTTCTCTCTCTTACCCACAATTCTTTCCCATTTTTCTCTCTTCACTGTTACTCTCTGTTTCTTCATCTCTGTTTTTTTTCCCTTTACTGTTTTGCGATATGTGCCCGATCTTGATCATTTATGGAGGTAGATTTTGATTGTTTTCGGTTGGGAGAGAGAGAAATCATGCCCTCAAAAGGGTATTAATGTAAAAATAAATGGAATCAAATCACATCCTCAAAAATCTGGCAACACATTAGGACTAAATGGTATACAAAAGAACTTAAAGGACTAAATGGTTTAACTTTTTTCAGGATAGGATTTATGGGTAATTTTTCCTAAAAAATTTCATGTCATAATTTAATTGTTAAAAATTAAAATTTATGATAAAATACAAATATATTTTGTTTTATAAGTTTCGTAATTTTAATTTACCATATTGTAGACACCCCATATTTGACCAACCCTAAGACTTGAGCGCTTTCTTCTGAACACCTAATGATGAAAATTATAATGTGTTATTTTATGAATTTCTTAGCAAAAAAATCAAATTTAAGCTTTAATCCCAACTTTACACTCGTTTTGGCCAAATTAGTTTAGCCCTATTCAAAAATCTTTTTCTACATTTTTCTTGTCTAGAAATTTAGCAGTTTAAAAAAAAAATTGGCTCTTCAAAACATGAATAGGTTTTGACTATTCACAATTGGCCTTTCAAATAAATAAATAGGTTTTGACTATTCACAACTAGCTTTTCGAACCAAGGAATGGGTTTTGGCTTTTCAAAATTGGCTTTTCAATAAAAATTGGCCCTTAAAAGCATGAAGGGGCCTTGGTTTTTGACCTATATATAGAAGGCCATTAGAGCTATGAGGGATGGTGAAATTTTTTGATTAGAGAGAGGTCTAAACTTTGATCAAACAAAGAGTTTACCACAATTTTCCTACATTTCACTAATATCCACTGATATATACTACCTGAAACTTCACCAAAGCTAAAACTTGAACTTTTTTGTTGAGATTTCAACAACATACTCTACAACCTTGAGGGTGATCAGAAGAAAGTTTGTAAATAAAAAAAATTCATCATTTCCCCGAAAGGTGAATTTTTGCAAACTTTCATTTAATTTAAAATATGATATAACTTGTTTAAATACTTCCTTCATATCTTTTTTTATAACTGTGTTATTGCTTTAACGGAAAGGCTGCACCACCTACATATCTACTGTAATTTACTGTTGTATATAAACTTTTGTAATTTATTTCTTTAAATAAAATGTTGTAATTTATTACTTATATATAAATTGTTGTAATTTTATTGTTTTAAATGGTCGGTCGAACCACCTAATTTGTTAAAGATGAGACCCCACCGGATGAATAGTGATCAGTGATGAATAGTAACCTCCGGTGGAGAATAGTAATCTCCGAAGGTGAATAGTAACCCTGACGATGAATAGTGCCTCCGGCGATGAATAGTAACTGTGGACAAAAAATTCCCAATAAGATGAATAATGACTAAAGAGATTGAATAGTAATTGCACAGTGAATAGTACTTTCGGTAATGACTCGTGCCCCCGCGATGAATAGTGCTCCCGAAAAATTGAGTTTTTTTTTTAGGAGCAAAATAGAGCAATCTTCCAGTAGCCAACAGAACCATTTCCGACAGTCGATCTCCGAGGCATCTTTCAATTTTCTTTTTAATTTGAGAGTTATGAGAATTTTTATATATATTTTTTCGTTTGTTTTCTTCACTCCTCCTTCTATTTGGGTTTGTAATATTTAAAAGTGTTGTAATAATTCCCCGTCCCACCCATTCTCTTACTTGCTTTCTTTACTTGTGAATATGCATTATATTTTGTTTTTCATTATATCCATGCTTTGTATCCATGTTTCATGTATCTTGATTTGGTTAAGTTTGCATTTATGGATTTAATCAATTCCTATGTGCTTATGTGTGCAACCTCATGTTCTTGAGATGATTCACATGTCATATCTTAGAAGTCGAATCTTTAGTTGCATCTCATGAGTGAATTGCATTAGGATTGTGTATATAAGATCATACATGTTTTACTAACTTTGTTTTGTAGCAGTTCGCGGGACGTCGGTAAATATGTAAGTTTTTATGTTTTAGTATTCTGCTTGTGTGTGTTTTTCTTATTATATTTAAGCATCCTACTATGTGGCTACTTACTTGTTTGATATAACTATATGAATGCCAGTGGATGGAGGTTGTTTCGCTTAATTTGGAATGATATTGGTTTTCATGATTGTAGACTCAATTTCTTTCAGTTGTACATCTTCAAAACTCTTTTTCAAAATACATGAAATCAAATTATTCCAAAATGAATGACATAGTCTATACTTGTATGCTTTACATAGTAATTTTTAGGATTTATTAAATAATCGAAATATGAACATATAAAGTAAATAAAACTCATATCATGGTTTAGTAGCGGGGGTGCACATTATTGAAATAAAACTCATATCTGATGACGTAGTCCATTTTTGGAAAAAGGTTTTGAAATAAAATGGATTTTCTAAAAGTTGCCAAATCTGGGCTCTCATCTATGTTTCACATTGTACTAGCGAGACTAAATCAAAGAGAGCGAGGGTTCGAACTATTCAACCCGCAAGGGCTACCCCCCGGGCGATGTTACAGTTTCTAGCGACTCTGCTGGGGATTTTTTGAAACCTTGACTTGAACTCCGTGATATGACTTTTATTTTCAATTATATGTTTATTGCATTGCATGGATTGGTGCACTTAAAGTCCCTATGTTGCCCGGATACTGGTGGGAGCACAGGCACACTTTTTGTGACACTACACCTATCTCTACATTACTTTGGAGGCCTTGTGTTATAACCTTTTGAGATCTAAAGGTTCTCAGACTTAGAAGAGAGGCTATATTGACTCTTCTGATTTCTTGGGATCTTCATTGGTTATAACCCAAAGGACTCTTTGGTAATGTCACATTAACTTCAACCCCAAGAGTATAGCCAACCTTGTGCATATAGTGAGCTCTAGTACCTTCTAACAACAGGACATGATGTTCTCCCATTTCTAGGATGTATGATGCCACTTGTCTGAATAGTGAAACCCTAGATCATTTCAAAATTAGGATAGGGTAGCCCTAACCCCCATAGGGGTGTTTGTTTTGTTTCCTGATATGTGTTATGTACAATGGATGGGATCCATACAGGGCTTCTCAGTATCAGTGATTTAGGCATTTCAGTTTGTGGGTTTGAGTCCAATTCTTTTTTTTAGTATGATCAATTGAGCTGGCATGCTACCAAAATTTGATTTAAGGTTCAGTTTTTTCAAGGCAGTCGAGCACTATAGCTTCCGAAAGGTCTGGTATCCCCCAAGTTCTATGGACTCGCGTTGGTAGACTTTGCAAAAGTGCATATTTGGATCAGGGTCAACCATTGTTAGTTTCGTTGCCACCGGTTACACGAAGAATAGCAAAAGCTTCATTAACTGTTAAGAATACCCCTTCTTCACCTGCTAGATCATCACCACTCAACTCACCAGAATCAGTGATGGCTCAGATTCTAGAAAATTTAGCAGACATACTATTGGCCGTTCAACGAAGCATGGATACCATTGCCACTACGGTTGCTGCCCAAGGCACTACTCTTGCCGCTCAAGGTAATACTCTTGCTGAACTGTAATGCCCATCTGGGGCATCCACTACTCAACCACCTCCGGTGACTCATCTAGTTCCACCACCACCTCCACCCTTACCAGCTGACGAGTTTCCTGAACTTAACTCACTAGAAGATCTGAGGGTTCCTGTACAAATTTCAAAAGGATCATTTCCCCTTCCACAACCAGCGAAAGGGCTCTTTCTCTCCAAGGCATGTGAGTTTGACCTAACTATGTTGAAGCTGGCCAAGTTGGAAAAAATTTTCAAAAGGTCACAAGGAGTCAATTCAATCCCGAACATCGAAAACAGGTATACTAAGACAGCTATGAAGTTGCCAGAACGGTTCAAAAGGAAGTTAAAGCTATAGGTGCCCACTCCAAAAAAAAAACAAAAAACAAAAAACAAAAAAAAAAAAAAAACAAAAAAAAGAATGGTTTCTTAATTTTTTTGTTATGTCTTTATAGTAGTCATTGTGCCTGTTATCTCACTACCACCTTCCGGGTTTGTGATTATCACTAGTTTTGTTGCGGGTTCGGTAGTATTGTATCCATGACAGTCTAGAAAATTTAGCAGACATACTATTGGCCGTTCAACGAAGCATGGATACCATTACCACTACGGTTGCTGCCCAAGGCATTACTCTTGCCGCTCAAGGTAATACTCTTGCTGAATTGTAATGCCCATTTGGGGCGTCCACTACTCAACCACCTCCGGTGACTCATCTAGTTCCACCACCACCTCCACCCTTACCAGCTGACGAGTTTCCTGAACTTAACTCACTAGAAGATCTGAGGGTTCCTGTACAAATTTCAAAAGGATCATTTCCCCTTCCACAACCAGCGAAAGGGCTCTTTCTCTCCAAGGCATGTGAGTTTGACCTAACTATGTTGAAGCTGGCCAAGTTGGAAAAAATTTTCAAAAGGTCACAAGGAGTCAATTCAATCCCGAACATCGAAAACAGGTATACTAAGACAGCTATGAAGTTGCCAGAACGGTTCAAAAGGAAGTTAAAGCTATAGGTGCCCACTCCAAAAAAAAAACAAAAAACAAAAAACAAAAAAAAAAAGAAAAAAAGAAAAAGAAAAAGAAAAAAGAGAGAAAGAGTGGCATTTTCTCAATTTTCCAACAGCAGCCCAACAATGAAGAGTACAACCAGCTTCATTTACACACAGCTTTGTTGCTCGCCTTTATCATCATGCCTCGCTTCATCTTTACTCTTGGGGAGTCCCTGAAGACTCTACCTCGGCATAGGCAGAGCTTCCGAAAGAAATTACTCATCGCCGGCTATCAAAATGGTTATGCGAAGGAACTCTGAATCGGGCCGCAGAGGTAGCCTGTCATTTCAGTTCTTTGTTCTGTTTTTTTAGTGCACTAATTTCTACTCGAAAGTCCTTGTACATACGTTGGAGCAGGGAAAGTTGTGCATTTAACTGATGTACATCAAATGTCCTGTTCTGTAGTCGCCGGGACAAGTTGGAGATTGAAGTCATGGTCTCCACACATGACCTCGGCGTATACGGGTTAGCTTCAATGTCAGATTGTGCTGCTATTATTTGCTCCACTGACATCGCTGGAAAGCTAAAAATAGAGGAATGAGGAAGAATGCGCGATTGAGATTCAGGGGAGTCAAAATCAGTCATCTCTATTGTGGATTCGTTGAGGTCTGGAAAAAGAGTGAGTGAACTGTGAGAAGAGGCCATGTTAGAGGAGAGTGATGCAAAAGAAAGGGGTTGCAAAGTGGTGGTAGAGAAAGTTTGTAGCCTTTTGCTCTGCCTTTCTTTCACAAGCCTCGACTTAAGAAAAAAACGATGAAGGAAAAAAAGACAAGGTGAGAGAGAAGGCTTGAGACATCGTTTAATATCAGGGCAGCCTATCGGTCAGGAGCCGCGATTGTTGAAATCGTGCGCCAAACACGATGCTCGAAGAAGATGAAGGAAGAGAGAAAGACAAAAACAGCGGAGGAGACAGAGATATGTATACATATACACATATGTGTGTATGTGTGTGTGTGTATTATGTATGTATATGTCTGTGTACATGTAAATATGTATATATTTTGTCTATATATGTATATGTGTGTATTCCTATAGGTATATAGTTTGCCTGTGTGTATACGTATATGTATGTAATACATATTTTGCATATCATCGCATCCCACCTTTCCTCCTTTCGCGTGAAACGCTTTAGGATTTCAAGTTTACTTGGTTAAAACCTTCTCCTTCTCCGTATGAAATACGGTTAGGTACACCTGCTAGTTACACCACCTCTCATCTTTTCGCGTGAAACACTTTAGGATTTCAAGTTTACTCAGTTAAAACCTTCATCCTCTCTGTATGAAATACGGTTAGGTATGCCTGTTGGTTACACCACCTCTCCTCTTTTTGTGTGAAACGCTTTGGGATTTCAAGTTTACTTGGTTAAAACCTTTCCCCTCTCTGTATGAAATACGGTTAGGTATGTCAGTTGGTTACACCACCTTTCATCCTTTCACGTGAAATGTGTTTACTCGGTTAAAACCTTCCCCCTCTCCGAATGAAATACAGTTAGGTACGCCTGTTGGTTATACCATCTTTCCTCCTTTCGCATGAAATGCGTTAGGATTTTCAAGTTTACTAGTTAAAACCTTCCCCCTCTCTGTATAAAATACGGTTAGGTATGCCTGTTGGTTATACTATATTTCCTTCTTTCGCGTGAAACATGTTAGCATGTTTACCTGGTTAAAACCTCTCTTCTCTCCGTATAAAATACGCTGGGAACGTCTGTTGGTTACACTACTATACCTTCTCCCGCGTGAAAAGCGTTTGGATTTTGAGTTCATTATTTTCTTCTCTCTCGTGAAACGCATTTGGATGTCAGGTTCACTATTTCTCCTCTCACGTGACACGTGTTTAGATTTTGAGTTCACTTTTGTTCTATCAGCTGAGTTGTGGCACATTTAATGTAATGATATAGAACATTTGTATGCAATGCACTCTTTCTATTATTTGTGTCGTGGCACATTTATATGTGTTACACCCTCTGTTATGCTTTACATTATTTGCACGAGACTTGTCTCATATGTTACTATCTTCTCCATGACATTGCATCTCATTAGATAATCATGAATTTTCAAAACAACCGACTACACAAAGCGTGCAAGTCCAACTTTTAAGTGGCATTTCGAGCAAAAGGGATACGTAAGCAACTACGCCGATTTGATTCCTTGCAAATACGTAGGCAACTTTCGGGTTCAACTAATTGTATCTGCATCTTGTTTATTTGCCCAAGTCTTACGGCCTTGTCAAAAGGGTCGTCTTTGGGCTTTGACATTTACTCACGTAAAGAAATGACTCCGACTCTGTCAAAGAGGGGCAACTGTAGACACCCCATACTTTGACCAGCCTTAAGACTTGGGCGCTTTCTTCTGAACACTCAATGATGAAAATGATAATGTACTATTTTATGAATTTCTCAGCAAAAAAATCAGATTTAAGCTCTAATCCCAACTTTACACCCGTTTTGGCCAAATTAGTTTAACCTTATTCAAAAATCTTTTTCTGTATTTTTCTTGTCCAGAAATTTAGCAGTTTAAAAAAAAAATTGGCTCTTCAAAACATCAATGGATTTTGACTATTCACAATTGGCCTTTCAAACAAATGAATGAGTTTTGACTATTCACAATTGTCCTTTCAAAACCAATGAATGGGTGAATACTAATGGCATAAATATCCCCCCAAAAAATAAGACTTCAACTGAATACACATATATCACCACCTATGTAGTTCTAAAGTCCTAACATAAGTAAGATAAACATCTCTAGCAATGGGCTTAATCAAAGGGTCCATAACCATGCGACTCATAGGGATGTGCTCCAAGATCACTTCTTTTTGCGCCACAATGTCTCTGATAAAGTTGAACCTCACATCAATGTGTTTGGTTCTCTCGTGGTACTTAGGATCCTTAGCGTAAGCGAGTGTAGCCATGCTATCACAATAGATAGTCACAGGGTCTGAAGTGTGTGTGACAATATCCAAATGCTGAAGGAATCTCCTCAACCAAACGGCTTCCTGAACGGCAGATGAACAAGCTACAAGCTCAGCCTCCATTGTCGATAAGGCGATACAAGATTGCTTCACTTAGGATCCTTAGCGTAAGCAAGTGCAGCCATACTGTCACAATGGATAGTCACAAGGTCTGAAGTGTGTGTGACAATATCCAAATGCTGAAGGAATCTCCTCAACCAAACGGCTTCCTGAACGGCAGATGAACAAGCTACAAGCTCAGCCTCCATTGTCGATAAGGCGATACAAGATTGCTTCTTACTGCTCCAAGAAATAACACCATCACTAAGCACGAAAGTATATCCTAAATGGACTTACGCTCATCTAAGTCTCCTCTCTAGTCAGCATCACAATAGCCAACTAGATGTAGATCTGAACTTTAGTAGCAAAGTGTGTAGTCTGCAGTCCCTCTAAGATATTATAATATCCTCTTAACTGCTTTCCAGTGAGCTGGTCCTGAGTTGGATTGGTAACGACTCACCAATCCAACTGCATAACAAATGTTAGGGCGTGTACACATCATAGCATAAATCAAGCTTCCAACAGCATTCGCGTAGGGTGTACAGGCCATCTTTTCTTTCTTTTCTGGAGTCTTAGGACCCATATCAAGGCTTAGGCTCTCACATCTCACAACAAGAGTGTCAATGGGTTTGCAGCTCTGCATCTGGAATAGCTCTAGGATAGTCTTAATATAAGTCTCTTGAGACAAACCGAGAAGTCTCCTAGAGCGATCCCTAAGAATCTTAACACCAAGCACATAGCTCACTTCACCCATGTCTTTCATCTCAAATGTAGAGAGTAACCACTTTTTAGTGGCGACAATTATCTTCTTGTCATTTCTAGCCAATAATATGTCATCCACATATAATGACAATATCAGAAAAATGTTCTTAGACCACTTAACGTACACACAGTGATTTTCATTAATCATCGTAAACCCATTAGAAACAATAGCTCGATGAAATCTCAAATTCCACTATCTGGATGATTGCTTTAAGCCATAAATAGATCGTTGAATCTTGCAAACTTTGCGCTCCTGACCTACTGCCACAAAGCCTTCTGGTTGATCCATATAGATCTCTTCATCCAATTCTTCATTGAGAAATACAGTCTTAACGTCTATCTGATATAGCTCTAAGTCCAACTGAGCTACTATACCCAAAATTAGGTGAATATAGACAAACCTCACAACTAGTGAAAAGGTTTCCTCATAGTCTAATTAGGTGTAGCCTTTCGCCACTAGGCGATCCTTATACCTTTCTATGGAACCTTGTGCTTGATTTTGAGAATCCATTTGTTCCCAATAGTCTTGCGCCCTAGCGGTAAATCAACCAAGTCCCAGACATGATTTTTCTTCATAGACTCTATTTCTTCATCCATTGTAGCACTACATTCTTTACTAACAGAGGATGAGAGAGCCTCTTTGAGATTCTTAGGCTCTGTCTCATCACTAAGAGATATCATGAATGCTTCTCCCTCAATCTCAAAACGACAACGGGGTATAGTTCTATGTTTGCTTCTACGCAGTTGAGAGTCCTGAGAATCCTCATCCATTAGATTTATTCTATGGGCATGTAAATCGCTCCCACTCTCCCTAGGAGCTTGAGGGATTATTTCCTCATTCTCTACTAGGCTACAAGGTGCGCTTTCAAGTAGATCCTCCATCTCATAGAGCTCTACATCTCTAGTTACCTCACTCTGCTAGGGAAATCCTCCTCTAGGAAATCCACATCTTGTGACTCAATTTCAATCACACTTCCATCTGGATGCTCCCCAATAAATACATAGCCCTTAGAATGCTCACTATAGTGAATGAAGATACACTTCTTTCCTTTAGGATCCAACTTCCTAAACTTATGAGAAGCATTGTGTATGTAAGTTGCTGAACCCCAAGGCCGCAAATTGCCCATATCAAGCTTTTTGCCAGTCCACATCTCATATGGGGTGAAAGAAACTGATTTGGAGGGCACATGGTTAAGGATATAGGCAGCAGTCAACAAAGCATCTCTCCAATAAGAAATAGGAAGATTAGCTTGCGCCATCATAGATCTAACCATGTCAAGCAATGTGCGATTCCTTCTCTCCGCTACACCATTTTGTTACGGAGTCCCAAGAATTGTTAATTGCCTGATAATCTCTTTTTCCTCACAGAGCACTTTAAATTGCTCAGATAGATACTCGCATCCCCGGTCAGTCCTTAGAGCCTTAATGCTCTTGTCTAATTGATTCTCAACCTCATTAACATACCGTCTAAAGCAATTCAATGCTTCTGACTTGTGAGAAATCAAATAGACATGGCCAAAACGCATGCAGTCATCTATAAATGTGATAAAATAAGGGGCTCCATGCCTTGCCCGCACATTCATTAGTCCATATATAACAAAATGAATAAGCTGTAATGGGATAGATGCCCTTTTAGTTTTCCCAAATGGTTTCCTTGTTGCCTTTCTAGCAAGATAGTGCTCACAAGTAGGCAAAGTGACTCTAGCGAGTGGGCCTAAAAGGCCTTCTCTAGCTAATCTAGTCATCATGTCTTGCCATATGTGGCCTAATCTA